CGCCCGACGGTGACCGAGAACGATCTCTCGACCACCTTTTCTCACAATCACGTTGTGTTCGGAGTGGAATCGGGTGGAGGAGCGGGTAGCCTATCGTTACCGAGAACACTCGGCAGTGACTGAGAACAAATCCCTCAACCACTCTGGTTTACGATACTCTGGTGAGTCGGCTTTTCGCGGCGCTGTCGAGAACGCTCGACGGTGACCGGGTATTGTCTCCCGACCGCGCTTGTGCCTTGAAAATGACAGGAGTAATTCTCGAGGATCGGTTTCGGAGTAAGGCTCGGAGAAGCGAAAAAGGAGACGAGTCCGTTAATCGCCTCTTTTATACTAACTGTCGCTCCCGCTCGTATTGTTCCGGAGTAATTCGGCGCTTTCCGCTAGTGAACAATACGAGCGGGGGTTGACGCGGTTCGGCTCGGTTCGCGCCTGTTCGCCGGTCTTCGGCGGAGCGGCGGTTTTCCGTGCGTTGCCTCGCGATGTTTCGCGGGTCACGGATCGCCGGTGGTACCTGTGAATTTATTTTTGGTTTCTTAAAAATAATGTGGGCGCACCGCGTCCTCCTCGCTGTTGCCCCTGATAGCGGGGTGCAGCGGCATCCGACGGAAGACCGATCGGGAACGATGCCTTTGCGGGTGCATCGTTACACAATTTTTTCCAATTTTTTTCAGAATCTGTGATGAAAATCCACACAAACGCTACAATATCTGATATTGAAACTGTTATCAAAATATCGTTAGTCAAAGCTAAAGAAAGGATACAAAAACGAGAACAACAACGAGAACAACAGCAACAACGAGAACAACAGCAACAATGAGAACAACAGCAGCAATGAAAACAACAGCAACAGCATCAGTATATATGGTAATAACAACAGCTGCACAATAGCTGTGATATAATGAATGTTTTTTAATCAATTAAGTTTTAAGTTTATACTAGTTTTTCCCGAAGTATTATTTTTGTTTCTATTTTAAATGTTCTTTTATGTTCACAAATTTTATCAGGAGACGCGGTAGGGTCTGCAGCCATGTTTACTTAATTTTTTTTGACGATTTTGAAGTACCGGAATGTACTTATTTAATTTCTTTATTTGATATTATCATATCTATGTAAGATAATAAATAATTTTATATTTTTATCTACATAATAATACATAACCTTTAAATTTATAATAAAATGTATGACTTTATTTTAACACATTTTTCTTCGTTTATACCTATATTTTTATAGATCGTCAAGTAAAAGATTAGACGCCATACGCGTTTGGTCCACTATTTTCCCTTAAATTCAAGATGCTAAAATAGAATGATATAGATGCACAATCTATCAGATTCTGTCTTAAACAGATCCAGAAAAATATGATAGACGTATAATGTCCAATCTCTTACTTGAGGATTTCTATCCACAATATCCCATTATTAGTATATTCATTGAATATTTAAAATGTTCTATAAAAATACACACAATTTTCTTTAAAAGTTTATAGAATATTCTATTAGACTATTGTATGAAATGATTAGAATATTTATAGAACATTCTGTAGAATATCTATAGGATGTTTAGAGAACGTGATATTTTGGCTACTCCTAATGTTCTATGAGAGATCTATAGAAGCCTCAAAGTATCATGTGAAAACGTTCTCTATGAATATTTAAACATTCTCAGATATTGTTCTATTAATATTCATAGAACATATTTGTGCTGTATGGGTATCCGCATATAAATATATGCATAAAGAAAATTATTCAATCACATTTCAAATGCATCTTTACAAAAGAAATGTGATTGAATAATTTTCTTTATGAATACGTTTATGCGTGCATAGCCGCATCTTACTTATACTGTGCCCTTCTTACACATCTTATACATGTGAATCATATCTATTATTTATATATTTTCAAAACATTATGTTAAATTATAAATAGATTTACAAGAATATATTAAACTACCCGGGCACGTCAAGTATCTGCTTTACTATGATCCCCTTCATCATTTTCATTACAGCCCGTTTCATGCGACTTAAGATTTGCATGAAATAAGAGAATAAGTATGTTAAAGTTTAGCTGCATATACTTTTAAATATATTAAATCATAACTGCACGCATGTTTGGATGCATTAAACATTTATTGCATGTAATTGTTGGGTAACTGCGCTAATAATGTATCCATTCTTCACAAATAATTTTTGAATAGATTTTTATTGAGTTTTCAAAGTATTTTTCGTAATGATATACTTGGCCAATTATGTTGATCTCATACTTATTTTTGAATAGCTAATTCTTGAATAAATATAAAGTCTTTTTTTATGTACTTGGCGTATCTTTTTTCACCTTTGTAAGGTATTTTTTATAGGATTTCACTTCTTTTTAGTAAAAATTAGATGTTGTTTCCTTTTATTTTTTTAAGCAGAGATCGATGTGTGTGTGTGTGTGTGTGCGCGTGCGCGTGTGCGTGTGTGTGTGCGTGCGTGCGTGCGTGCGTGCGTGTGTGTACATATATGTAAAATAAATACATTTTATTTTATTTGCTCTGCAAAGAATATGAATGCATTTTTAGCATTTCGCGGCCAATTGCATTTTTGTATTCTTAATTATTTATTAGTATCCATTGTGCATCCTTAGTACGTATCATGTTTGTGTAATGTCCATCAATTATACTTTCACCATGATGAAAAATTGCACTAATAATTTTATATTACATACATTTTGTATGTATTACATATAATACATACAAAAAAATGAATTCTTAAAGGAATGCATAAATGCTTTAATCAAAGAATATTTTATGCTTAAGATAGCGCCAAGAATAAACAATTTCCAATTAAAAATAAATTAGTCTTAAAATGAAATAAAAATTATATTCTTAGTTCAAAACAAATTTTATTTCAATAAAAAAATAAAGTTGCACTCGTTCATCATTACATATGCTTGTATTAGCATTATTTTTTCTTCAATGATACCTTTTGTCAACTTATTTCAAGCCCCCAGTATGCTTTCCAGTAACATCAAGATGACAGAAACTAATGCTGCAGTAAGTGACGATAGCTTTGTAAATGAAGTGCCACATTTATATAGAGCATGCCTCCTAATGTGCACAAGTACAAACTCTCAAGGAAAAGCTGAATCAAACTCTACTAATGTGATTCAAAGGCAAGTGAAATGCTGAGACCGTTCTACCAATATCTCCGTTAGCTATATTGCAAATAATGATGCAAACAGACGGTCAACCTCGTCATAATGGTAGAGAACGTTGGTTGCACACACAGGCGGATCCGCCGCGGCAGGTTCATTGCTCATCTCACCCATTTGACTGTGGATAGCAGATCCGCGAATCCGCCCGCGTGTATAGGCAACCGCCTGTTCGTCGCGTCGCAGTGACAAAATCGGCCGACTGTTCACGCATCCCCATTTGCAATATAACTGATAGAAACATTAGGACGAGCTGAATATTTCATCCATCCTTAAAGATTGAACCACATTTAGAGATATGTTCCACGAATGCAATAGTTCACTCACAAAATCATTGTCAAACATCATTCACTACACCCATGCACTTCCGACATCTTGATATTACTAAGGGGCCCTTATACATACTGTTGCCGCCTGCCGGCGAATTTTCAAATTTGTAATTCTAAATCCAAGAATAAGTAATTTCTAAATAATGCGATTGAGTTTGTTAGAACTATGTAATGATTTTAGAAACAAGAACACAATTTTAAGAATAAAATATACTTTGCACAAATCTATTTATTATTGACGCCAGTGAACATTTATAATTGAAGGGAACATTTTATACTTAAATGAAAGTAAATAGCATACAAGAATAAAAATACACGTGAATCAGCAATTCATTTTTTTCTGTGTACGTATTCAAATTAACAGATATCTTTGCCATAGGTATAGCTTTAATATTTAGATTTATAACTTTCTTATTACAAATTTTAAATATTAATAGTTTAAAGATAAGAATACCATTTGTTTTTATTATATCAGTTTTTTCAAATATAGAATTAGCACCACAATTAGCACATAATTTTTCTACATTAGTCCAACGTGAAAAATTATATTGCATTAGTTCTTCAAAAGTATATGATTTTTTTAAATTTTCTGGTAATCAAAGTAGTAATATATAATTTGTATAAATTTCTATTTTTTTATAATTGCATTTATTACATCGTAATAAATGTTACGTTTAACTGATATTCGATTATACTCTTTATATTAACTAAATTATTAATAAGATCTTTGATAAACTCACCAGCATCTTGCTAAATATTTTCAAGATATCGATCACCAGCCAATCTACGAACAGAGTTTATATTCAAAATTTCATTAGATACATAAGAGTCAATTAATTTTCTGAATGCATTTGTACGTTTAAGATAAAGTAATATCTTTCTGAGAATATAAGAATTGAATATACATTGAATTGAAGCATTAGCATAACACGATACATTATACTACGCAGGCCCCGTTTTCTCGCGAGTGCTTGCGTCGAGCATACCGCGAGTAGAGCAACGCAACCCCCAGGGGGCGAAAGCGTGTACTCACGCTAGAAACTCACCTCGACGAGGGATAAAAAGCCCGACAACGGCCCGACGCTCACGGCGCTTCCGAGAGTCTATTGTGTTGTAACCAGGGAAAGACGGTCAGGTTATTCTCAGCATGAGAGAGAGAGTGTATCCCAGCAGACAAGCTGCAGCAAGTACCGAGGCTCGCAGAGGTGCCATCCAGGCTGACCACCGCTTCACCCAAGGGACTACCACGGGCAGCGACGGGGAACTGGCGGCTGCACAGGCTGGATATATCCCCGAGGCGCCTTCGACTGACGTTACCGCCAGGAGTGACGCTCGACGATAGGGACAGCCGCCGACATCGGCCTACGTCACCGAGCTGCCTTTTTGCGCCGGAAGTGTTGTCACCCTTGCCGGATACTCCTCCCGGCCGAGGCACCATTCTACCGGCCACGCCGCCCACAGCATCGGCAGCGACGCAGACGTCTGAAGGAGAATGGATACCGACGAGGCCGCCGCAGGGATCATACTCACGGCACACGCTACCGGGCATACCGCCAGCGTGGAGAGAATACCTGCGGCCCTTGGTCCCGCCTGACTGCATCCTCGGGGACCAAAACAACGAGCAGAAGTCTTTTCGGTGGACGACCACGCGACCGTACCTAAGCTACCGAGAGCGCCGTAACCTGCGAAAAACGGCCTTTTTCAGGGCTACATAAACTTACTACAAACGGCCCTTTTCAGGCCCCCCTGTATATATATAACGTGTAAATATACTGTACATAGACTCGTACATCACTGTGTTATAACTGCAGCATCTCCGCTACTTCTGCTTCGTACCGTGCGCACGGAGAACAGTGGGTGCATCCAGAAGCATGACCGCTCACTGAGCGCTCAGTGAGCGCTCAGAAAATACCCCATATCTGTCTACTGGATGTAAACGCTCCCGAAGCTGCTCACCGTGAGCGGTCGCCAATTTTTGTGAGCGTAGTTTTCGATCGCTCACTCCGCTCACGTAACGTTCCGCTCAGTTAGATTTAAAATATCACTAGAAAAGTAACCAATTCTTACAGAATAAGTAAGTGTGCTGTGTACTGTCAGCTGTGTGTTGTGCTGTTGCTGATTTTTATCTTAATTGGTAAGTTAAATTTTTTTTTATTCCTTTATTGCAAATACTTAAAAATTTAACATAAAGTGGTTAGATTATATGTACGTGGTACATGTAAGTTTTATGAAATGTAATGTCTAACCTACAAAGTGTTAACTTTTAGGCCAGTATTTATAATTAGTTATTCTATTTGATGGTTTGAACATAGAAATAACATTTACTTAGGGCCTCAGCACAAAAATAGTTGCAAATGAATCATGAAACATAAGTCGTAGGTTAATCTACAACTACGTTTCAAGACTTACTTATGCCCATTTTCACCAATGTAGATTAACTTTGATCTCGGTTCAACTTACTCTTTGTCTTTTTCTAATCTTTAGAACTAGAAAAAGATGTAGGTTGAACCGAGATTAAAGTTAATCTACATTGGTGGAAATGGGCATTAAAGATTGTTTATGTGAAGTCTACAATAGGTGTGTGTGTGTGTGTGTGTGTGTGTGTGTGTGTGTGTGTGTGTGTGTGTGTGTGTGTGTGTGTGTGTGTGTGTGTGTGTGTGTGTGTGTGTG